CTGCTATCAAGACGAAATTCTAAAGTATATCCACACTTTTTCCTAAACAAAATCCTTCCCTTTCACACTTCCTTTATAATTTCTTATAATTGTGTTAACAAAACAAATTGATTCAACAAACTTTGCTAAACTAATTATCAATTGAGTCTTAATAAGACAACTAATTGATATTGTCATAACATAGTCCATAAAAGTCAACGAAATTTCGGACAATAGATTACAAATACAATAAAATATCCTTTTAAAAATAAAATAAAAAAATCGACCTAGTTAAAGTAGGACTTCGAAGTATTTTGTCTCGATTTCATAAAAGTTAGGTTAGATTATTACAATGACTCTAGCTAACTATTTAGATGTACCAGCTTATTATCTCAAATTCTAAGGATTTAAAACTTCGTCACAACTTCGTCAAATCATTAAAAGAAATACTTAGTGTACAGCCATTTTCTAAAGGATAATGACACTTAAGTCACTGTACGATTATACTTTATTGAACATCCGAGTGAGGCCCTAGATTTAATATTATTGTAGAAGGGACAACTTATGAATAGATAACTGTTTATGGTAGCTACTTCCCATATAGTAATACAGTATTATTGAAGTATATTGAAAATATTAAATAGAAGACAACTATTCATTGATCGTAGGACTATTAACAACATTATCATATTAAAATGCTATTTCAGAAACAACACTATGATCTTAAGTATTTACTACTATTATCTGGGCATAACTGGTATATTAATTCGATTGCAGTTTAAAGAAAGGCTTAAGATCATTTACGTCGATGTTTAAGCTGGATGGAGTTAGTGGTAATGGAGTTACAGAATAATTGACCTAAATATCATTAGTTTCCGATTCAATATATATATAGGTATCTTAATGTTGAGCCTTTTCCGAATTAGTGCATCTGCGCACGTTTACTCATTGATGGCTGTGAGGTTTCTGCAGAGTCCCACCCACCACAACTAATTTGTGTATTTCTCAAAAGCTTCCTGATTATTTAATGACTGACCTAAGATCTGCGTACCGCCCCGTGCGGTTAGTGATTACTCTGAGATTAGATAGTGCTAAGTAGAACAGCCTGTTGGTTTTCGTATATAGCTTCAGAGCTCTGTTCGTTATACATTTTTTGATCAGATCTATTCTGAGATCTCTTAGCATGTTATTCGTGCGTATGTACCGTGGCACTTTGAAGAGTCTTCGGAGAGCCTGACTTTAAGCAACAGGATAGTAGAGTCGGCAGCTTTGTGTATATATTTATGTGATTGGATGATCATATTTTTTAAAATATTAGAATACCAGTTTATAAAAATAAAATCAAAAAATGCATCGATTTTGCTTAGAAGTAATATATGTCAATAATTTAAGTATCAAAAAATATTATAATTGTTATATTTATAAAAATGTCTTAACTAATTAAATAATTTGATATTTTTATCAACTTCACGAATAACATTAAAGTTAATTTGATTCTATCAGATAGTATAATGACAAGTTACATTTTGTAGCGATAAATACTACATCTCCTGTGTACTTTATAATGCATTCAATGTTTAAAATCATAATTATCAACTATCAGCGAGTAATAATTTCTAGGTGTGTAAATATTTAAGTCTATAAACAGCACAGCAGCAACAATTCATCAACAATAAAATCAACAGCAACATTAACAGTGTTGCTAACAGCCGTTAAGCTTCAAATATGCGCTCCAATTCAGGTGTGTGTCACTTAGTCATCGCTTGGTTCCATACACAGCAGTAGCACCAGACGGAGATGTGGACATGCTTGAACACCTTTGATTACATTGCTATGTGAAGATGAATGCATATCTGTGCCATTTATTGCAAATACGTGTAAATGTGCCGGTATGCACCACTCACATGTGAACATATGTCGCCAAAATTGCTGCTACTTCACTTGCAGCAACTGCTGCAGCAGTGCTTTCGGTGCTGCTGTTGAAAAAACCATTAAGTGACAATTGTCTGTGAAATTGCAGTTGCATGCAGTTAGGAATTTGGCTTGTTGTGTTGTCAGTTACTAGTTTAACTTGGTTACTTGCGGTTCTACTCTGTTGCAATATCACCGATTTTATTTGATTTCATAGTTGATAAATTTCATTTGTGCTCAAAAGTGTTGTCAATAATGACTTGCTGTTAATATTCATGTACTATAGATGGACAGAAAATCAAAGGATTTTAAGGACTTACCATAAAATTTGGCTTACAAATCAATGCAAGCGAATAGTGAATATCGGTATGATACGAGGTATTGATTATAATTAGTATTTGATTAATTAAAGATAACTATTTGAATTAATGAATAATTAAAATAAGAATTTTTGAAATTATATTATATTTATTCAATAATTTTCTACACAATACCACAATTTGTTGATGGAATGAATTATAAATTATTATGTTAATGAATTGTCATTTAGTGTTATAAATCAAAAGTGATAAATCTATAAGGATAAAATTTGGTATAAATACATCAGAACGAAATTATACACAAATTCGAATTATCCGCCTATGTAGTATCTGAGAAATTGACCATTAAATCGCCAGCCATATGTTTAAATAATAGTTAACTAAAAGAAGATGGAGTACTCTTAGGAACACGTCTGTACAAGCTATCAAAATAACGGCATGGAAGAAAGGATTAAAGATTTGTTATGTTACTGTACAAGTATCTTCAACTAAAGAAATTATTCTGTTGAAAAAATAATTAAAAAAAAATTTTAAAAGTATTTGGATTTAAGATATAAATAAATAAATTATCTGAGGAGACAGGCTATTTTCTATTGTCGAAATATTGCTTTCTGACTTTACTGATATTTTATATGAACTTTTCAGCATCATTGAGGTTTAACACATGATATATCAAAAATATTTAGAGATGTAAGATATAAAAAAATAAATTAACTGGAGAGCCAGGCTATTTTCTATTGTCAAAATATTACTTTCTGTCACTTCTGATATTTTTTATGAACTCTTCAGCACATCATCCTCTTAACGCTACCGACTTTTCTTTCTTTCTACATCGGAAAATTTTACTTTATACTACAAAACGTTCTCTATGTGGTACCCTATATTACAGCACGCGGGGTATATATTTTATACTCTTCCTTTTGAGATATACCATATTAGTACACTATGGTTTTCAATAAGATTAAATTAGTTGCCAGATTCTTTTAAGTTTTTGCATTCAAACTTACATTGGTTGTATATGCTTTGTACTTATATACTTTTAAGTACCTTCCGGATTTTTTTGTTTGTTAACTACTCCTTAAGTAATAGACCTTTTTCAAAACCCTTTCTTGACATATGTCACAAATTTGAGCGCCATCTGTCAATTAGTTTGTTTACAGCAGCTGTTAATGTGAGACTACCTCAAGTGCATTTAGCGATTTTTACCAAGAAAAATTCCTGTTGTACGCGATTTTTTGACCAAACACGGCACCACTGTCATCGCTCAGACACCATATTCGCCAGATCTGGCTCCGTGCGACTTTTTCCTGTTCCCGAGACTCAAATTGCCCATTCGTGGTAAGCGTTTTGAGTCGATTGAATCGATAAAAGAGAATTCGCTGAAGGACTAAAAGCCATACCATCACGGGGCTACGAATAGTGTATGGAAGATTGGGTTAAGCGTTGGCATATGTGTATCGCTTCAGAAAGAGCATATTTTGAAGAAGATAAAATAAATTTGAAATAAAATTTAAATTTGTGTGTTTTATTTACAAAATCCGAGTACAGAGAGTAGTGTTTAGTTGCAAATTATCTTATCTCGATTTTTGTTATATTTTATATCTAATTTTTCTATAATTATATCTAACATTATTTTTGTTAAGAACTCAAGAACGTTTGCTCTATAAGACTACATTTTGATTGTTTGATTTTATGTACATAAATTAACATTTTTTTTTGTTTTATTCAAGAAATTAAATGGATTTTTCTGTGTAAAAGTTAAATGTCAGCATTTCCGTTTAAAAACAAACACCAGACGAATTGTACTCAGAAATCGAAGTAAATAAAATATTAAGATTTGATTTATGAAACTCTATGAATATTTTTACAATTTCAGACACAAAACGGAAATCAATTACAATAAAATAGCATATTAAGTAAAGCAAGGAAACCAAACAAAAAAGCGCAAAGAATTATGTCCTTAGGGAATATGAACTATCAGCAACAATTTCAACAGCAGCCATATCAGGAGCATCCGGAGTTGGCAGCAGTTTCCGGAAATAATTATGCGTAAGTTAAAAGAAAATTTATGAGATTCATTACACAGTTGACGGAGAAAAGGCATGAAGTGAAAATAGTAATGAAAATAAGATAAGAGAGAAGAAAAGAAAAATAAATTTATACCAAAAATGTAAAATAAATAAGTTCGCAATGAAAATTGCAACTAAAACTAAAATAAAGCAGAGTTGAGCACACATAAACCTAACTGAATGGAAAGAAAATTAGCCTAGTTTTATGTGAGGATGCGAACTGTAGAAATTTATGTGGTTGTTTTTAAAATTTAAATTACCACAAAGTATGCAAGTGCAATTTCCGTTTGTTTAATGGATTTGCTGTACGGCAAACTCGGTTGTTTTCTTTACAGTTTTGGTCAGGAACGAGCGCAAACTTATCATCCAGCAGCGAATCCCTACCATACATTGGCTGGTGCTGGCACAAACCTTAACAGCGCATACACAAGCAGCGGTCATTCTGGATATGGGTAAGTTATTACAGTTGTAATGTGCACACATTTACATGGACATTAGCACATAGAGTACACTAATTACAAATTATGATTTACAATATACGATTTACAATGCCTGCTGTTGCAATGCTTACCTACATACAAACTGTGTGCATGCAACTGCATTGATATGCATACGTACGTATGTATTCTAATATTTTTGCAGCAGTGAACCAACTGGTGGCTCTGATTATCATCATTCGCATCCGCCAACATCAACGGGACATAGTGGACCGCATGTTTCGAGCGGTGGTGGTTATGCATATCATGCTACCGGTGGTGGTAGCAACTATGGCCCACCACCAATACATCCCACACTACCAACAATCAAACAGAACGATAAAAAGAAGCAAACTAATGCATCCACCATGAATGCGTTGACTTTGCTCTCTTTCTTCTTCTTTGTGAATTTATTACAAAGCTGCTTAAAGGAGCAAATGGAAGCTATGAATCCAACTGTTATGGTGATGACGGCTGGCGTATCACGCAATCGCTTCAATAAGTTAGCGGAAATGAATTCACGCGAACAGAGCAGTTCACCTGCTGCGACATTCTCTTCAGGTGGAAAAATTGTAGTACAACCAGAAGACCTAATATCAGCTGCTGGCGGTTCATCAGCTTTAGTTAGCAATGCAGGTTTGGTATCACCTACGGTTAAATTACAAAGTCCATATGAAAGTCATGAAAGCAGTAGCCAAAGCCAAAGCCAAAGCAATTCACATACCACTAGCTCCATTTCAAGCAGTAGTGGTGGTAGTAACAGCAATGGTGGCAATAGTAACACTGATGCACATAGAAAGCCTACTGTTAATAGTAATAATCACAACAATAATAATAATTACAACAATAATAATAATTACAACAACAACAATAATAATTACAACAACAACGAAAATAGTAACTATAATAATAATAATAATAATAATAATAATAATAACAACAACAACAACAATGACCACAATTTTAATATTAACAACAACGATAATATTAACAACAATTTTCACATTAACAACAACGACGATATGAGTAACTCCCACAACAACAATAACAATTACAACAACTACAACAGTAATAGCAACTACAATCGTGTACCTAGCGTCAACAACAACAACAACAATCACAACAACAACTTCAATACCAACTACAACAATAACAACAACGGTAACGTAGATTTTAATAATAACGAACCTCCAAGTTTTTTCGATGTACCACAAAGGCCACGTCCAGAATTTTATGATCCAATGCAGTCATATCCAAATCGTACGCTAGGCATAAGCGCATATAACAACGACAACAACAATCGTAACAATTACTATCAACAATATCAACAACAACACCAGCACCAACAACAACATTATCAACGGTATAAGCAACAACAAACGAGTGCTGCCGATAATTATGCTCCATGGTCTTATGGTGCTGCATCTTCATCTTCCATTGATTACCCTGCCACATCGAATAGGCATGGCAACAGATTTTCTTCTTCAGGCTATCCCTCTGGCAATTCACCTTGGTCATCTGGTGCATCGCCTGACCATGTTAGCGGAAGTAATTACTTCGATGATGAATACGACCGTCGTTACGGCGATGCCCACTACACACGTTTCGCTCGTAATTGAATTTTATTTCCATAATTTTTTTTCTCCGTGTTCCTACCTTTGCTAAGTCAAAGTTTTGGACACCACTGCAGCTCCTATTAACACCCTACCATGTCGATGGTGTTAAGTGGCTTTCCTTGTTCACTTTTTTATGCTGGATTTTATTATTATTTATTTATGGTATGTGTTCTTTTTGCCTTCACGTATACGAGTATTTGCTGCATGCTGCATGCCACATATGCCGCAGAGTTTATGTTGCTGTTGCATTGCACTGTTTTATTTATGTTCAGTGTTGCGAGTTGCTTTGATATATGAAAACTAATTTTAGTTATTGTAATTTAGATTTAAAAGTACTTCTAAGTGGATTTATATGACCATTTTTATAAGTTAAGCACTTTAACTTTAATCAGTTTTTATATGTTAATTTACCATTGAAAAAAGTTTTTTTTTATATATATATATTTTAACTGTATTTAAAAAACCTATATGAAAGCATAATTCAATAAAAAAAACTCAATCATGCAACAATCAGTATGGAATTTCACTTTAATGAATAAGAGTAAAATATTTCACTACAATTTACGATTTAATTACCATAAATTATTATTTATTGTATATATACTTATTTAATCCACAATTCTATAAGATGCCATTGGCTTAAATATACCTTTCTTCAAAATATCTGCGGTCAACCACAGTTCTTACTAACTTGAAAATTCTAAGTCAAGACAGCCTTACTGACGACATTAGTAACGAAACCGGATTTTCCCATTTTTATGTTTCCCTCTACATTTCTCTGGCTTGTTATTCCCCGAATACTTTGAGACCTATAAATCTATAATGATTTTACGGAGCTTTATTTTAAGATTTATAAAGAAAGAATATTCACTGGAAACCCAATTTAGGGATATAGCCTGATGTAGTAGTAATTCATTCGTTTGCCTTGTTATTCGAACTCTTCGCTACTTATAATTCCAGTAGCGAAGAGTTCGAGGTAAGGACCTTCCGGACCTTACTTTTCAGTTTTATAAAGTAAGAATATTCACTAGAAACTCAATTTTGAGGTGTTGGCTGATGTAGTAGCAACTCACTCGTCTGCATTGTTATTCGCTGAACTCATCGCTAATTATAAATCTATAACGATATTCTGGACCTTACTTTTCAGTTTTATAAAGAAAGCATATTCTCTAGAAACCCAATTTAGAGATATAGCCTGATGTAGTGGTAATTCATTCGTCTGCCTTGTTATTCGAACTCTTCGCTACTTATAAATCCAGAACGATCTTCCGGACCTTACTTTTCAGTTTTATAAAGAAACCATGTTCTCTAGAAACCCAATTTAGAGATGTAGCCTGATGTAGTAGTAATTTGAAGTGAAATTCGTGTGTTATGATCGTCGTTCTCAATTTTTTTCTGTCAGCGAAGCAATTTTTGTTTTTTCATTTATATCATTTATGCGATTTTATCTTTTAAATATAGTAAAAATGTGTTATAATAGATGCTGTTGACTGTTGAGGCCCTTTTGTCTATATTTTAATGCCATCGTTATCAGAGAGCATACACCAATGCATTCTTCTGATAAAATAGAACCTTCTCTTTCATTATATAGGGTCACTTCTACGTTGTTATTAATCAAATGTAACAATAATATATGCTACTTGCTGTAAGCGGTTTTCCCATTTGCGATATAATCGACAAATATTATATCATGCTTATACACAGATCCAATTGCCATAATCTTTCCAAATATTATTTTCGTGCTCTCAAAGACTGGATTAATGTGAATAAATATTAGAAATGTAGTTTCAATAAAAACATTTTCTTAAGAGGGCATAACTAGCGCCTTTCACTCCATGGCTCCTTTCCAAATATAGTAATGATATAAATATCGACTGGTAGAACTTTTGTCGGCATTGGTGTGTATACATACTTCATTATTTGAATCTGATGAACTAATAAAGGATATGTTAAGTGATTCCTGATATAATGTTTTTTATTAGTTTTCTCAAGTCATTCTTTTGCTTCTATGATATAGTTTTCCCACCTACACCATTTCTAATCAACGTACAAATTTCTTCTTTTTATATGGGT